AATAAAATAGGTTTTCCTTGAGCTTAATTAACAACAGTTGCAGATGAAAGGTCATGGTTTTACTCTGAAGGTTGATATTTGAAGAAAATATGTGAAAGGATATCTTCTGCTGGTAATACACAATCAATACATCAGGCTGCAATAGCATCAACATTCTTATTACTTTGCTTTGAGATGAACTACTGTGACTCTTGCCTGAAGTTATTTCAGATTTATATGGATGGAAGTGATTTGGAGGAAGGTTTCCACTTGCTGGCATAGGCCATGGTGCTTCCTTAAGTTTGGCAAAAGAATTGCAACAACAGTCCTTGCTGCCCCTTGCTGCACCTATCGTAATGTGAATTTTGCTCACAGAGATGCTGTTTTGCATAACTGAATTTTTTAGGCTTAAACTGGAAAAGAATCAGGATCTAGCAAAATTCAGGAGGAGTTAGAGGAAGAACCAGAGGTGTCTGAATAAAGAAGAGTCTTGAAGTATGACTTATTTGTAAGTGGGAAAAATGCTTTTTTACTGCTATGGTGTAAAACTGAACATAAAATTACATGTAGGATGCGTGCATGGCCAGCAATCAAGTTTTCTTCTTTCAGTGACAAGGCAAGAGAGACCTTTTGCTCATAGTTGTGCAGTTGTTTTGTTATTCATTGGTATTTATTTTTGTATATTGCTACAAAAAGAACATTTTACAGTAGGAGTGAGAAGGAAAAGCTGATGGTTAGTTTTCACTTAAATCTGCACTACCTTTCAAAAAAGAAGAGGAAAAAAGGAGCAGGATTAAAGAGGACTAGTAACAAGAAACCACCCACCTGTTTCTGCTGATGGCTGCTTCTGAATATGTAAAAATGATCTTTCCTCAGATAGTCTAGAAAGGTATTGTCTTTAAATGACGTTGGAATTAATATTTAATTGTAAAGCTACACACATCTTCCTTACTTTTTCCTGGGAAAATATTCAGTGACTGTCGTGCTATGTCTCAGTGCCCCAACTCTGATAAGGGCAGTGGGCAAACAGTGTGATGTCTGGGGAAAAAAACCCGAAAACCCTAAGGTAATTTTCTTCATGGGGAATGTTTGACTAATAACAGAGCAGTCAGCTCCTCCAAGTACCTGAATTCTCTCTCTTCCAGTAATGTGTGTACAAACAGAAAATCCCTGCAATAGCCTTAAAACAATTTATAAAACTGTAGATTTCATTAACTGGCATTAATAAACTCCTAAATTCAGTATAGATTCCCAATACCTTATAACTTTCTGGTAACCTAACTCACTTCTTGAAGCAGACCTACAACATACTCTCCTGCCATTCTACCCAAAGGCCCACTAATTTTCAACAGATAATGACCAGAGCAAATCAAAGCAAATTTGGTCATGTATAGTGGCTTTACATATTCTCATAAAATGATGATTTCTTTGTGATTTTTCTTTGACTATACACAGTTGGAAAAAATTGACTTAAGTAAAGATCATGTATACCAAACTACTTGAAAAACAGAAGTTCCACAAACTGCTGGTTTGATTCTGTCTCTTGTCTACTAATCCATGCCAAGGTGTTATGGTTTAACCCTGCAGGCAGCTAAACACCACACAGCCGTTCACTCACTCCCCCCCTTCCCCCTCAGTGGGATGGGGGAGAGAATCGGGAAAAAAAAAAGAGTAAAATTCGGGGGTTGAGATAAAGACAGTTTAATAGGACAGAAGAGGAAGGGGGGGAAAGAATAATAATGATAAAAAAATATACAAAATAAGTGATGCACAATGCAATTGCTCACCACCTGCTGACCAATGCCCGGTCACTTCCCAAGCAGAGGTCACCACCCCCCAGCTAACTCCCCCCAGTTTATATATGGAGCACGATGTCATATGGTATGGGATAGCCCTTTGGCCAGTTTGGGTCAGCTGTCCTGGCTGTGCCCCCTCCCAGCTCCTCGCTGGCAGAGCATGAGAAGCTGAAAAGTCCTTGACTAGTGTAAGCACCACTTAGCAACAACTAAAACATCAGTGTGTTATCAACATTATTCTCATCCTAAATCCAAAACACAGCACTGCACCAGCTACTAGGAAGAAAATTAACTCTATCCCTGCCGAAACCAGGACATAAAGGTTATTCAAAAGAATAATGACTTCTGAAGATAGTAGAATAGAACTAGTCCATGTCATAGCAGAGTTGAACTTGGTTATTATATACAGTTGTGTTGACAAATGCTGTTGAATATTAGTTTTTGTTCTCCTGGCTGTACTAATGAGGAGACTACCATGGGTCAAAATACAAGGCATTTACCTATGTTTAATAACACTTCTTCACATAAATTGTCACACTGAAATCCTGTTGAGGATGGTAAACCAAAATCCCATGTTTTATGCATGGACCTTAGTTTGAATGATCTGTATATTAAAGAATGAATGACTGGTAGTCTTGTAAGTTACTGTGATACTGATGCAGATGGGCTTGCACTGGGCATGTTGCAAACTGCCCTTAAGTTGTCCCCCTCAGCTGCACGGTGGGATGGCAACACTGGTGCACTGTGGGACGTGAAAACGGCTGTTAACCGTAACAGATACTAACCTTCTTACTTACTTCCTTTCTACTCAAGGGTTACAAAAGTGTTGTGTCTCTACCAAATTAATTAATAGCTGTGTTACGCTTTCTCTCCATTCATTGATACTATTCTGAGGATACCATCCTCTATAATATGTTAATGAAAAATTGCAAGCCTTTGGGGTCATTGTTGATATCTATTATTAGTTCGTGCACACACTATGTAGTGGTTTAACTCCAAACAGCAACTAAGCCCCACACAGCCACTTAGTTACTCCCCCCGGTGGGATGGGGGAGAGAATCAGAAGAGTAAAAGTGAGAAAATTCGTGGGTTGACATGAAGACAGTTTAACAGGTAAAGCAAAGGCCACACATGCAAGCAAAGCAAAACAAGGAATCCATTCACGCCTTCCCCTCGGCAGGCAGGTGTTCAGCCATCTCCAGGAAAGCAGGGCTCCATCACATCTAATGGTTACTTGGGAAAACAAACGCCATCACTCCAAACATGCCCCCTTCCTTCTTCTTCCCCCAGCTTTATATGCTGAGCATGACATCATATGGTATGGAATATCCCTTTGGTCAGCTGGGGTCAGCTGTCCCGGCTGTGTCCCCTCCCAACTTCTTGTGCACCCCCAGCCTACTCGCTGGTGGGGAGGGGTGAGAAGCAGAAAAGGCCTTGACTCTGTGTAAGCACTGCTCAGCAGTAGCGAAAGCATCCCTGTGTTACCAACACTGTTTTCAGCACAAATCCAAAACACAGCCCCACACCAGCTACTATGAAGAAAATTAACTCTATGACAGACAAAATCAGCACAAACTACTAAGAATTAACTCCATTACATGAGTGCAAAATTTCACCTAAAACTCCTGTGTGGATAATGTCTAACTTTGCCAGGTCTTTCATGATGGCAGCACAAATACTTATGCAATTACACATTCTTGTATGCAATTAGGTAAATTCTATTTTTCTGGGATAGTTTTCTGAAAGTGAAGTTAATTAGTAATGTTGTTTCTCTTATCAAAGTGGACTTGTGTTCATCATGTGGGCAGTCAGGCAGAAGCATGGTCTGAAGAAATCTGTTTTGTTTGCTCCAGGCATGGATGCCCAGAATTTGAATAGTTATGTTCTAAAGCATGTGTGCATTTCAAAAAGAACCTATAGGTCTGTCATCGTCTAGAAGCAACTGTCAGAGTCTTACCTCAGGACAGAAACTGAAGCAAAAACATCAGTGGTCACTAGTGCTTCCTATGGGGCAACTAGAAGAAGACAAACACAAGAACAGTCATGGAAATCTTACTGAGGTAAATGCATAGTTTATCTGCAATATATAGAAGACAAAAGCACAGCTATCAAAATTTCACACTTTTCATATGGCAATGCCAACAAAAACCAGAACTGATCCAATGATAGACTGAAATTAAACTACTATAATTTGATGCAGTGCTGGTAAGTGAGTGATGCATTAGGGGAAAATGGCTCACTAAGCACATTAAAAGCTAAGTGATAAAACCACCCTGTTATTCTCCTTTTCTGCACGTTTATAAAAACAATGTAAATGATTGGTTTATAAATAATGC